ACACCAGCCTGGGGCCCAACTTCCCGACAGTCAATGCGCACCTGAGAGACCTTCTGGTCCCAATCCCTACAGCCCCTGCGGCTTCTTCAGTGCACCTCTTCCGGTGGAAGTGGGGTCCTGTTGGGCCACAAGGGAATCTTCCATCGGAGAGCAATACAGTGGCCACCCAACTCAGCCTGAATGACAAGACTGACATCGGTTTTAACCGCTCACCTTAGGCAAACATAAGTAAATGAAAATATCTGATAGTGGCCGCAGGGTTGGCGTTTCATACCGTCTCCACCATAATTTATCTAGTTCCTTATTGGCCTCTGCTGTCTTTATCAAGTCAGAAACCAGATTCAGGAAATAAAACGACGTGGTTAACAATATCCAAACACCCCCCCAAAATGATGTTTTCTGTTCTGATTTGTTATTCCACACCCAAATCCTTTATATATTTCTAATGCACAGTTTTAATATTTAATAAAAAAGTTATCAGAAACATTGCACTCTAGTAATACGCTATTTTACATTTTGTGAGTGTTGGGTTTTTAAAAGAGCTTGATCACAAATTAATTTAGCTATGAAGGCCCAAAGACTTTAAATTTCTTATTTAAGAAGGAAAAAAATTCCCAAAACAGAAATTGGATTTTGCTGTTCATTCTGTATTGTTTGTATAGTCTTCACAAAACACATACCTTACAAACTGTTCTATAATATTTTGCTTTGAAATTAAATATCTTATCCCAAATAAATGCACAAAGAATTTTTTCAGTTGCCATTTTGCTTTTTTTCCAGGGTGTAACCTGCAGAAGATCTCATGATGTAATACATTTTCTGTTAAGTAGTAGGGAAATAGTACCTGGAATTGTATTATGTCTCAGAATAGACATCTTGTTTAATAATGTAAATCCTGACTTTTATAACAAAAACTTACCAAAGTATATCTGTGACTGACTAGATCAGATGAATTCAACATTTCAGAGAAGTACTCCTCTGCACAGAGTGGCTGTTGGTTTTCAGGAACTAAACCCTACACTCAAAGCAGGAACAATAGTCCTGTATATCTGCCTTTTGTACTTTTAGCATTCTAAACTTGTTGACTAAATTAATTAGAAGGGGAAATAATTTTCTAAAGGAAATATGACTTGCTTCTGTCCTTCCTTTTCTTTCTTTCTTTTTTTCCTTTTATTGTTTGTGAAAGGACATAAAGGGGAAATTGTCTAATTTTTTGAGAGGAGTAAAGAACTGAAAGCTGGAATGAACCATCTCTTCTCCCTCTAGAGTTACTGCTTTCCTCCCAGTCACAAAGAGGCAGTAGAAATGGTAAATTAGGCTAAAGAAAGATTAATCTATGGGATACATGTTCAGATAGCTATTTACTGAGTTTTTCTTTAAGCAAAAGACATTTCTTTAGGAACAAGGTATTAGGTAGTTGTGTGTAATAGCTGAAATGTTGACTGAAGATCTCATCTGCAATGTTGTTTATGCCTCCATGACTAAGATAGAATGACTGATAGATAATAAGGATCAAACACTGTACTATTTTAGGGTCAGTAGAGCAATTAGGTAATCTCTTGGGTCAGGAATCAGTTCAAGAAAACAATGTAGTACAGATCAAATACTATTCAGAATTTGTTGTGAAAGAAATTCATTCAAAATTATTAAAACTTAAACAATTTATCCTTACCTATTTATAAAAATTACTTTCTGGTGATTTGCAATGTAAAATATAATTCATATATAATCTATATAATATATTCATTTATGTTGTTTTGCTTATTACCAAAAAAATTCTGAGGTTTTACAATTTATAAAATATGTGTATGTATGTTTATTTATTTATTTCCTAATAAATATTATTCTATATATACATGTAAAATCTAATCCTACTCTTGGATGGATATTGGTGATGGCCCTGAGAATATTATATTATAAGCAGAGTAGTAATTTGAGAATCATTGCTTTAAATATTTTTAGAATTCATTTAAAGCTCTTTTTCTAAGATTATTTCCCAAGGAATTTTTAATATTTTCCCATATAAAAATACATAAAATTGAGAAGCTTGAGTGGAAATTAAACTTAATATGTTTAATACAATAACAAGGGATTTTTTTTACTTCTTTTTTTCTCCTAGTTTGGAATTCAAACCTAAGTAACATTCTCTTTGCTTTAATTCATACTGCTAGTATAAAAAAAGATAAAAGAATCACTCTAACCATCTTAACTTTTTAAAGTCCTATGTCACTAATGGTGGGAATACATTGAGAAATGCATCTTAGATGGTGTTGTCATCATGCAAATATCACAGAGTGCATTTACACAAAACTAGATGGTGTAGGTAGATCACTTTGTGTGACCTCTTGAGCCACATTAAACCTGATATGCATGAGGCTGCACGTGAGGCCTGAAATGCATGAGGTATAATAATATGGCACATGGCTTTCCAACAAACATTATTTTATAATTAGAAAGAGTACACTCTAATTATAAAAAGTATAGTATAATAAATATATAAGCCAGTAACATAATCATTTATTATCACTATCAGCTGTTATGTACTATACATAATTATATGTGCTATATTTTTATCTGACTGGCTGCACAATAGGTTTGTTTAAAATTGCATTGCCATAAACAGGTAAGTAATGCATTGCATTGTTCTGTGACATTACAAAGGCTATGATGTCCCTTGGTTATAGGAGTATTTCAACTCCATTAGGATCATATGGGACCACTGTTGTATATCTGGTCCAATGTTGACCAAAACTTTATTATGTGGAGCAGGACTATATTTCCTCCTCTGATTGCCTATATTGTTTCTTCTCATCTTGAATCCTTCCTTTGCTTTATCTGAAGCCTTGAACCTAATCTCAGATCTTAGGCTCTGACCTTTGGAGCAGTGTAGAAAGAACAGTAGGGATGAAATTTACATTATTATAGTTAGATCTGTACTTAAGGAGCTCAATATCAAGTTAAAACTCACATTGACCTCCACAGTTGTACAAAGTGCCTCTCAACCTTCTTTGTACCGTAATTCTTGTAACTAAATTTTTATCTTGGTCTCTTTCCTCATATTTGATTCTCCATTCAGCAAATTCTCACTCCAGGCCTTCAGAGCTTGTTTATGTATCCCAGGTTCATTATTAGTTGGTAAACTGACCTACCTACAACTAAGAGCTGCCCTGCTTGGATCTTCAGTGTTCTTTGCTTCTGGATTCCCACTCCGCTCCTTCTCCCCCATATGGCTGCCCCTGGTGGTTTGCCAGTGATGTAAGCCACTTGTCTTGACTGCCAGCTGTTGTCTAACCCAGTCATCCTTCTGTGTACCTGTTCTGCCTGACTAAACATCCTGCCATCGCCCCCAGATAGATTTACCCTGGCCTCCAACCTGTTATAGTTAACCCTTCTGTGTTTAGCTCTCAGGAGATGAACATAAATTACTAAAATTTAAAAATATAAGGCGGTCTTATTTTGTGTACACCAAAAGCATGATCTGAGAGAGAATAGATTTTGACAATAACCACTATGGCCCTTTGATCTTTATATACAGGTTTAGAAATTCCTAATAGAATGATCGAGTGTGCTGATAATATCGAATATATTCGTATGAAGTTTGTATGAAACTGTCATTCATTCATTAATAAATTTGCTGAATTTAAAGTAAACAAATGAAAATATATGTAATGAGTCTTGGAATTAATATAATCATATAACAAAGAGATTTAAAAGTTTGAGAATATTGTTACTTATAAAAATGAGGATAGTTCATTATAAACTGAGATATGAAGATCATTTAACATTGAGACAGGTTTTATATTCTAGAACAGAAATTTTCAAAATTTTTTCAAGGCGAGACAGTAAATATTTTAGTCTCTGTTGAATCCATTCAACTCTGCCACTATGGCTTAAAAGAAGATGGTACATGAATTTGACTGTGTTCCAATAAAACTTCATTATGGATATGAAAATAAAAATTTCATATAATTTTATCATCACAAAAATATTCTTTTTTGTTATATTTTCAACCATTTAAAATATAAAATCGCTCAGTGGTAAAGCACTCGCCTAGCACTTGTGAGGCACTGGGTTTGATCCCCGGAACCATATAAAAATAAATAAACAAAATAAAAGTATCATGTCCATCTACAACTAAAAATATTTGGGGCTAGGGCTGTAGCTGAGTAGCAGATCACTTGCTTAGCATGTAAAATATAAAATCATTCTTAGCTTATTGGTCATATAAAAATAAGTACCAGGCTGAAATTGGCCCACTGATCATAATTTGCCAAGCTCTGTTCTAGCTTAAATGTCTGTCTTCCCAAGCTTTCAGTCGAAAGTGTCTATGTTGTGAGTGAGATGGAGAGGGGCAAAAAATTACTTTCTGGCATTAAAATATACACTTAGCCTCCCCCACCTAAAAAAAAAATGTCCTTTGGGTTTTTTAAATTGTGCAAACCTTGCTTGACTATTGAGAAGTTTATATCCTCTATATCCTCCTTTAGGATGTGAATTTTAGAATTTTTTTTAGACACTCTTGATTTTTATCAAATAAGCAAACAGAAATAAGAAGTAGCCAGAATATTACCTCTAAGTCTAAAGAGACCAACACAACAAAAACTTACAAAAAACACCAATTCTTGAAAAGTGAAGTAAGATCCTACAGAAGCTTTTTCTATTACCCAATTCCAGTTGGATTCACAAATGAAATTTGGTTATAGCAATAAATTTTGATTATAAAGCTACATATATCCAAGTGAAAACACAAGGGAGTGGTAGAAATGAGACGTTAATCTCATTTAATAGTCATCTTGTAAATAAATAAGAGTGCATCTGATTTCCCTTGTTAAAAATAACAGTTATGGAGCAGGAAGATTTTTATTATATGACAAGTAAACATAGATCTGGAGTGGAAAAAAAAGGAGAAGATCTAGAAGTATAAGAAAGAATTATTTTCTGTAATACAGAAGACTTTCCCCTCTATTTATTTACAAGGAACACCCTCAATTACAACTTACCTGTTTTGGTTCTGGGACCATTCATGAAATCACAGACAAAAAAACAAACCCCACTTCAGATCAAAACACAGACCCAAGTATTTGCATTTGATACTTTGTTTTTTACCAGTGCCCCTTCACTTTCTTCTTTTCATATTAATTAGATATTGATCATCTTATCCCTCCTCCATGGTTACTTTCCCTTGTCTCGTTTTGTGAGTCTTTCTGCTTTCTCTTCCCCTTGTGGTATCTAAAAAAGAAAAGAAAAGAAGAAGGAAAAAAAAAGAAAAAAAAGAAGAACTGTATATCCTGAAACTTCTGTGGGTTTCTAAATGACACTGAGCATGCTCAGTAGCTAGGGCAGGTTTTGTTCGCGGGTAGCTGGCCTGATTCGACCTCTCCAAAAATAGACGTTTAACCCTCGCTGAACTGTTTAAAGATGTAATTCGTCTTGCTCTCTCCTCCTTTTCAAGGTTCCAAAGAGAAGCTGCGAGGATTCCAAGGTCCCACCGCCTTCACAGCCAATGAGGAGCCTGGGAGGGAGGAGCTTCGTGCAGCTAGAGCTTCTGAGGGAATCATCCCCAGTAGATGCTGTGGAGTCTGAGCTCTGCTGTGTGTGTCACAGACGAACAAAATAACAAAATAAAATAAAACAGTGAAGGGAAAACGCTACAGACTATGTGATGCTGTAGGACTTTCTGAAACATCTACTGGGGGTTCCTGTGGAGTATGATCTTTTAAAAAGAATTCTTTTTGAAGCCGGTTTGGGTAACTGGGAAAATGATACATATGCTAAATGCAGCAGCTGATCGAATGAAATGGACCAGATCGGGTGCTGCTAAGAGGGCTGCCTGCCTGGTGGCTGCAGCATATGCACTGAAAACCCTCTATCCCGTCATTGACAAGCGTTTAAAGCAATCTGGCCATGGGAAGAAAAAAGAAGCTTACCCCGCTGCAGAGAACAGAGAAATACTGCATTGCACCGAGACCATTTGTAAAAAACCTTCGCCTGGAGTGAATGCAGATTTTTTCAAACAGCTACTAGAACTTCGGAAAATTCTCTTTCCCAAACTTGTGACCACTGAAACAGGGTGGCTCTGCCTCCACTCGGTGGCTCTAATCTCAAGAACCTTTCTATCTATTTATGTGGCTGGTCTGGATGGAAAAATCGTGAAAAGCATTGTGGAAAAGAAGCCTCGGACTTTCATCCTCAAATTAATCAAGTGGCTTATGATTGCCATTCCTGCCACCTTTGTCAACAGTGCAATAAGGTACCTGGAGTGCAAATTGGCTTTGGCTTTCAGAACTCGACTAGTAGACCATGCCTATGAAACCTATTTTACAAATCAGACTTATTATAAGGTGATCAATATGGATGGGAGGCTGGCAAACCCTGACCAGTCTCTTACTGAGGATATTATGATGTTCTCCCAATCTGTGGCTCACTTGTATTCCAACCTGACCAAACCTATTTTAGATGTAATCCTGACCTCCTATACACTCATCCAGACTGCTACATCCAGAGGAGCAAGCCCAATTGGACCCACCCTGTTAGCAGGACTTGTGGTGTATGCCACTGCTAAAGTGTTGAAGGCTTGCTCTCCCAAATTTGGTAAATTGGTAGCTGAAGAAGCTCATAGAAAAGGCTATTTGCGGTATGTGCACTCCAGAATTATAGCCAATGTGGAAGAAATTGCTTTTTACAGAGGACATAAGGTAAGATAAAAATTAAGGTGATGAGTGAAATGTGACACTGTTCAATCAGCCACTGCAGTGCCACACCATCTGTTGTATATTTGACTGATGACTATTGGACCCACTTTCTTAACCTTTTTGATTTCTGTGATTGCTAAACTTAAAATATATACTTCATTATCTTTTAAAATGGCAGGCTGTTAAAGAATTATAAAGTGCAAACTTTTTAAAAGTTTGATGAGAATAAAATTTCAACATTTAAGAAATAGCCTACATATCTTCAGTCACACAAATATCTCAAAAACACGTTCTTAAAACTTAAACCCTAACTCAGTAGGTGACCTTAAAGTATGTGAAAAAAATACATATTTGGAAACTAAGAGTAAATTCCTTCCATTGAGGTGGAAAATTTAGAATGGTTTATTTTATTGTCATTCCTTTGTTGCTTAAGAGGGGGAAAAATCCACATTTCATATGGAAGACAATTTTAATAATTTTGCATGTCTGATCAATTTTGGAGCATCCTAAGAAATGCAGAAGAGTTTCTTATAAAGTAATATTTCTATTATGTTTAGTTTATGTTCAGCACATAGTTTGACTCAAATTAAAAGAGTCAGTGAAATTAAATTTTGTCTATTTTGAAAAAAATAACAATTAGGAAACGAATAGAAAAAAAGAAGTTCCAGAATATTTTTAAATATTTAAGATTTTCTACATTAAGTAAATCCTTAAAACAATTAGCCAGATTGCACAGATCTCTAATTCACGGGAGTGACTTCAGATGTTAAATATGACATATTTTAAAAATGATGCATCTGAAATCTTAATACAGATGGCTTGGCAAATGAAATAATGAGATATTCTAAGTTGAAGATATTTTAATTATTAAGGAGGATTATTTAGCTTTTAAAACATCAGAAATTATCAAAATTTTTAAATAGCAGAACCAACTTAAAGAAAAAATTTTGTAACAAATTTAGGACCTTTACTCCCACTTGAAAATTGGCCCCATATGTTATAATAATCATGTTGATTTGTCCTTCTTCCTGAAACATTGAACACAATGATGTATATTATAGTGTGCTGTATGATGTATATTATAGTGTGCTATATGATTCTTGCATAAAAGTCAAAATCCAGTAAATTGAGTCAGTTAAAGGTGGAGTTTATAAATGTATGTCATTTATTTATTTTTAGAATGATATGGTTCTAATATTGTTTATCTGTGTCTTACAAATATAATTTTAACAGCTTAAATTTTGAAATCATAATGATAAATCATTTTTGTGGGGACACACACACACACACACACACACACACACATTTGAGGAGGGGGATTGCTGCAGATTGAGCCTAGGGCCTCATCCATACTAGGCAAGTGCTCTACTACTGAATACACCCCCAGCCCAGTTATATGTATTTTACACTTAATATTATATTCATTGAATAGCATAAAATTTTTAAATAGTCCCAAGTATAACCCAAACTAAATAATAATGACTAATTGTAATATTAATCTGTATTTCTTGGTTGCTAAGGCCCATAGATAATGCTATACTAAGTAAACCAAAATAATAATAAGTGCTTATCATTAAAGACAGCCCTAAAGCACATGTGGTATTTATTTTCATAAATATGTTAGATGAATTCTTATTTTTTTTTCTCTATAGGTAGAAATGAAGCAACTCCAGAAGAGTTACAAAGCTTTAGCGGACCAGATGAACCTTATTTTATCCAAACGTTTGTGGTACATCATGATAGAGCAATTCTTAATGAAGTACGTTTGGAGCAGCTGTGGACTAATTATGGTGGCTATCCCTATTATCACTGCAACTGGCTTTGCAGATGGTGGTAATGATATTTACACTTAATCTTACATTTATCTTTAACATTGTTTCTCTTGAAGATGTCATTGCTTGTTTCATGTTAATGAAACTTTGTGTATAGAAATTATTCTATAGTTATTAGTAGTCAGAAACAATGTCAGACTTTGTAACATAGTAATAAGGAAACAAGTGACTCAAAGAACCTGAGTTATCTCAAAGAATTGGAGATATGTTAGAGATCTCTGATGCAGTGTTACCTGGAGTACAATTTTAATTATACTGCCTAGTATATGAATTCTCTAGTTTACAGTTAACCTCAAAACAAGTCAGTACTTTCAGAAAGAGCATAACACAACCTTTTCTCATGTTTAGTTTTTCACATACCATGAACTAGTCTATAATAGAGTCCATAACTGAATTTGCACTGATTAGTGATTTGGAAACTTGGTTCACTACATTGGGCACCAGGAATATTGTTTCAGAGACTATGTGAATGCCATGGAATGAAGTGTACACTACTTATAGGTAATACTGATAACCTCTTATATAGCATGATTTAGTGGTATAGTGGGGGAGAAATTATAAGGCCGCAATTGTCTAATTTTAAATCTTTACCAACAATTTTCGTCTTTTGGAATAATTAAGAAAGATAAGGACAAGAAAGGCTTTGTTAAAATGTTATGTAATCCTTAGATAGAAATTTGGGTTTTGGGTTGGTGATTCTAACTCTACCCGTTAGTAAAGTGCTTGCCTCACATGCACAAGGCCCTGGGTTCAATCCCCAGCACTTAAAAAAAAAAAAAGAAAGAAAGAAAGAAATTGAGGTCTCAATTAGCAGGAATGCAGGGGAATTATAGTCAGACCTCTTTATTCTTGGATTTGAATACAAGGATTCAACCAGAGATGAAAACTATTTGGAAAATATTTGTGTCTGTGATGAATATGCACTTTTTATTGTTATATTTCCTTTATAATATAATACAACAACTATTTACATAGCATTTATATGGTATTAGGTATAATAAGTTATTTAGAGAGGATTTGAACTATATGAGAAGATGCAAGTTATATGCAATTACTACATCACTTTATGTAGAGACTTGGCATCGGTGAAGAAAAAATATAGCAGGATTCACCTTATTTTACATATACTTATGGTATAAAATTAAGGATTAATAGTTCTTTGTTTAAAGCAAGCTAATAAAAATATATAATCTGCAATATTTTAAAACAGTGTTTCAGTGCTTTAACCAATTTTACAAAAACACTTGTCAAATTTGAGTCATTCTTAACCTAAAAATGTTCATGTTAGTAAACCATTTTTAGAAAACTATTTAGTAAACTATATGTATAAGTTCTTCTTTATGGTAAGTGCTATATACATACCTAATTGACTATACAACTAAACTGCCTGACAGTGTATTTAGACCACTGAAGGAATTGATTCTGTTTTTATGTTTTCAAAATTTACCCCAAAATGTATCACCAAAAATTTTTATATTGAAAAATGGTATTGTTAGTAATAGTGTTTTAAACATAATCTTTTCGTTATGAAATAACTATGTTTTCAAAAGAGTACAAAAGTAAAAAGGCAGTTAAAAACCTGTGGCCATAAGATTAGTTTTATTAAGGAATTTGGCAAAATACTCATTAAAAAGTTATTTATCACAATAATAATACTTATTTTAAAGTTTTACATATAATATATATTAGAGACAATCTCAATGACAAGATTATGGTGTAGTTCTGTCAGCAGTGTTTGGTCTTACTAGAAAACCCTTGAGTATTCGACAGAGAGCAGTGAAAATTCAGCTATTAATGGTGACAAATTAACCCCACAGAGACCAGTAAAAAGGTAAACAATGTATATGAGGAGTCTAACAAGGCCACTTAGCAAGACATAAAAAG